AAAATAACTACAGAATTTTAATTAATTGTTAAGTTTTAGATCTATTTCTAAAATAATATAACGTAGATAGTATATATTGTAGTGCAATTTTTTTTAATGTAATAATTTATGTGACTAGTATAGCCTCCCATTTACTATGGTAGAAAAAAACCGTTAAAATTTTGAATTTTGATTTTCTAACAAATTTTTTAAAATTTGAAAATATATGTTTTAAAAGCTATTTGTTTATAATATGGATGAAAAACATTTTTAAATCATCGGAATTTTGATCACATATTTATAATTTACATGTGAAAATTCAATATCGTACAGATTTTAAATTCAAATGCTATTACAAAATTAATGTTAACATATAAGGAACCTTTTGCAATATATTTTCAAGCTTTTTTACTAAATGAGCAAGTTTTTATCGATAATAGTTTAATAAAAAATTATAAAAGTCGAAAAATGTATCAATGCTATAATTAGCTCAAAAAGATATTAAGACTTAATAATGAAGTTGTTTATGTTTCAAAATGTTACAATATATTATAGAAAATGCAAATATAGCTGATAAAAATAAATTTAATAGTAGGTATATGGTTATAAGTTATTGAGTTTGGTAGGTACACCAAAAACATAAAATTAATTTTTTCAAAAATTGACTTTGTACATACATTTTCACTTTTTTCGTTTTTACTGACACTTTCTAAAATTGTTGGGAATTTTAAAATTTGACCTCTCGTAAAGTCAAAAGTACCTACTAGATTCACCTTCTATCAAAAAAGAATAAAGATGTCGATCAAAATACTCATGATTGTAAATACAATACAATATTCATATTGCTCCGCTCTGCATAGTCTAAAAATAGGATAATAAATATTGCATATATACCATTTCAAAGAATAGTGCTGTATTCTAAGTTGGTGGTAACCTATTGTATCAGAATTAGTTATCCAATTGCGAAACCATACAATGCTGTGTTTTATAATTTACATTCATTCAGTCAAAACTCCATTGATCTCAAAATTATTAGTTGTTAATCTATGTTATAAATAAAAATATAACTCTATTTAATAAAATGGATATTTTTTAATTTTTAAGAATCGACATATTTTTTGAGCAATTTTTATTAAATTTTTATCATTTTATTATGTTTATATAGGGTGTTTGGTACTTTTCGGTTAGGTATTATAATTTTTATTGGTAGTCATATATCACATTAAATAAACGGCACTACGATAAGTATTTGTATTATATTTTTTTTTATTAAAGTTAATAGAGTACTAACTTTCAATAAACCAACATATTAGCTGTAAATGAATATATCTGCATATTTTATTTTATAAATTCCATTTTAGCTATAAAAATCTTGGCGATGTGAAGGAAAGTCCTCAAAAAAGGGGAAATAAAATTATATTGGAAATGATCAATGGTTTTTATGATAGTCATCAAGTTTCTTCAGTTATTGAATTTATATGTTCAAATGAAAGTAATGTAAGTACCTATTATGAATATGAATAAAAAATGTAAGCAAAATATATATGACCCGCCTCATGTATATGATATTTAATATTTATATTAATTATATTATAATATTAAAAAAAAATGAAATAATATATTGTGCGGGCAACGTGTCACGTGTGTGGCATTCCTAAACCGAAATCGTCTCTCCGCACGAGTCACACATCACACATACTAATTTTTTGACGCGTTTATCTACCATGGCAAAAGTAACGCAAAGACCTATATAAGTACGATAATATATTAATATAACAACCAGTTTATTGTACGAAAACATTTTCATGAATGAAAAATGTTTATATGTCATACAAGGAGGTTGTACTTATAATTATGATGATTTAACCAAAAGTTCATGTTTTGTAAAGACAACTAACCTGGTATTATAGGTTTCAGTGTYTGGTTGTACAGGGTATACGTCCAGTACTTCATTTCCACTTAACCGCCCGATACTTTTTGGGATTCCCACTTAACCACATGTTGGACGGGAAAAGGTTGTTTTCAAACGATTCAACCGTTATCGAAAACTATACTTTCTGTGCAGGCGTGACAAAAATATTTTATTAATTTAATTTGACATTATTTTATAAATCATTATTGTGAAGTTATTGATTTAAATTTTTCTTACGTAGGGTCCA